CACTTTTCAGTGTTTTTGATTTTCACAGCACTGTCACCAACAAGGTAAGAGGAGCTGATACAATCCAATTCCAGTGCTCATCATGGGGATCAGCAGATCCCAAGTCATAAATCTCATAATTTTTATCTGTCCTACGACCCCCATATGCTATGCATTTGGGCACTTCTATCTGAGCCTTTCTAGTTAGACAACACAAGAACCCACAAAGTGATGCCAAGTCATATCACTCAGCATAAGAACCTGTATAGAAAAGACTTTTCTGGGGGAAAGGGAGAGTAGAATGGGTCTTCTGTACATCTATATTGTTTTTAAGGTGACTGTACCCATCATAGACGTGATAAGCATACAATGACAAATGTGTTCCATCCAGACTGCAAATGAAAACCTGTATCTCGGATGGGATACACCACCTTGCTGTTTCTGCTTCATGGCTGCTTACTACTCTGCCAAACTGAGATTTTAGGCTTTTGGAGAAACAAGGTTGGAAGGGGTGGTCATGGTTAGCTTTTATTGAAAAGCAGCTTTTTTTTGATGAACTGCGCTTGGTTCATAGTCATCTAGTGACATACTTTGAAATACTCTCTCACCTATTCTTCTTGGCTATTTCTCTCTACAAAAGATGGTATCTAGAAGCATTACTCTCAAAGAGAGATCTAATTAGTAACTTACCCTTTCTTTCTGTGGCTTAGCCTGCAGTTTTCAGTCCAGCAGGGCTCTGTGTTGAAGAGGATGGGAGTGCCAAATACACAATGCAGTAGAAGTACATTACTCTCCTTTAGAGATTCACAATTCTTGAGATTCATAATTCATATTCTTGTCTGTAGAGCCATGCAGTCAGGCAAGGTTTCTAGGGGCTGAAATCACACAGTCTAGAACATTGGATTGATGTTTCTTTCTTGACTAATTTCTTTTGTCTTTTTAAAAAGATTATTTTTCCTGGATATTTTTTTTTTTGGCAGGATTTTAAGACACTCATTAACACTGCTGTTCTGGAAACATGGCAGAGAAAAGTCAAATCTTACATAGCTTATTAATCAGGGCCATTTTATTTCCATAAGATTTAGTTTTATATTTCAAATTAGGGTGCTGATTTTTGGAAACTGTTTAAAATACAGTTTGTGGTCACACGAACTTAATAGAGTGTGCCACATATATTTGAAATGCAGGCTTTTAGTTTTTCAAAAATAACCTGAAAGCCTTTTAATTTTTGATTCACTGGAAACCTGTCATTTCAGAAATGCTTACGTTACATTCAGAAATCTGATTCTCTGCGAAGAAATAAGACGCATTCTTTACATGTTGAATGCAAAGAAACCATACACTGTGTGATGTTCTCTGCTCTAGGGACCATCTCTGGAGGAAGAAGATCTACATGTGGCCATCACCTTATTCATCCACAGCCCAGATATGAAGTGCTCTGTGACATCTCATTCAAGCCCACTGATGGCACACAGCAGTCAGCCCCAGGACTATGAGATATGTCGTCTTTGCTACTGCACTGGGAAGCTTGGTGAGAGATGGAGTGATCTCCTGTGTACCCTCCTTTGAGTGAGAAAAGGCTGCAGGGCTACCTGACAGATATGTTGTGGGAAGACCATCCTCTCTGGTGTATACCATGGGAAGTAGTCCAGTCCATTGACAGGGTATTATTCAGAGCTATAATGCTGTTGTGTATAAGCCTTAGGCTAAACAAAAAACAACAAATTTCACATGGATTTCAGTGGCCCAGGTCCACTTTCCATGAAAAAGTGGATGCAATATTTTTAAAATATTAAACTCATGGAGGAAAAGCAGCACTATACTACTGGTTATAAATTACAGTTTACCCATTTGTATATGAATTATGTTATAGCTGTATAAAGAGGCAAGATGTCACTAAGAAATATGTCACTGTATTCTCTTTTTTTCAGTGAATTAAGCATTGGTTCAAATCATTTCCACGTGAAAGCTGAAGGCATTTAGAGTTTGGAAAGCATTAAAAAGAGATCTGTTTGTTTTCTGGTACGCATTATTATTTCATAAGGACAATTTATTTATTTTTTTTTTGTCGTTATGTTTTCCTATTTAGAATAATAACACAGAAGGAACTAACTTTTTCTTCCAAAGCAAACCAAGAGTGATTTACAGCTGTTGATCACCTCTCCCACTGCCAAAGTCAAACTAAACTCAAGGTGAAAAAAATCACAGGAAGAACTGTTAGTTTAGGATAAGCAGATTTTGCTTCCAGCTGAAACTACAGAGGATGGGCCAGCAGTCATAAGCAAGCCCAGGCACCCGAAGGTAAGCCTGCCATCTACTGAGCCACCTACCCGGCTGCTCTGCCAGGTATGAAGCACCCTGCTGTGCTCTGCCTTGGAGCAACGAAATTAAATCCCATACACTGGTAGGTGTGGAGGCATCCATCGCAGCTTTGTTTAAAGGCAAAGTAAAAAAAAATAAAAATAAATCCAGGCTCAACTTTTTATCAAAGCTGAACATTGCCATGAAACACTGTTTTGAAACTTCTGCTTCATTGTGTCTGATGTTAAACAGATGCAACAGTAGAAAGTAGAGTGCCACACTGTTTAATCTGACCACATATAACAATATGCCTGGGTGAAACAGGCAATGTAAGATTATGAGATTTACACCATTTTGATGAGATTGCAAGTGAGATTTGAAGTGAGGCTCTACTAATAGCACTGTGTGGTATCATGGGGCGTTTTACTTTTTGACAGATATTTGGTTTCTGGAAAAAGTTAAATAAGCTTATAAAGAGATTTCATCCTCTTTTTCCCCATATGTGCATGTAAAATGTTACCAAAATTATTATTTGCACATTTTCTTTAAATGAGATTCACTAGGAAGTAAAAGAAAAGAAACTACAATTGTTAAAGCTTTCCACAAAATATTTTAATAAGGATGTAACATCTTCCACATTAGCATTTTTTAAACTAAAAGGAGCTGACTCACAGTCCATTGAAGTGAATTAGAATTTTTTTCTCTCATTTCAATGGGCTTTGCATCAGACAACTTTGAAATACTAAATTTATACATTCATTTAACAGTACGGAATTTTTGGTGAAAGAAATGTACAAAGTAGTATCCTGCTTTTGCTGCTGAGAAAAGTCAAAGAGTATAATTTAACAAAAACCTGTAGTATAAGTCCACCACCGCATATGCTAGATGCCTTGTCAGCCTTACATCTAACACTGTCCTTACGTACCACAGCTACCAGTACGATGCTACGGTTATGCTGCTACTAGAGATTTTTCCCAATCTCTTTCTTCAGATTGCCAGTAGTTATAATTAATACAACCACAGTATTGTGCTAGATAAGTGATTTGTCACAGCTACTGGGACACCTGCCACTGTGTGACATAGGTGGCAGAAAGCAAAAAACATAGCTGCTTATTTCAGCACAGTCCGTACCAATTCTTACATCTGGGATAAGAGGGAGCAAGGATAGAAGGGTTTGTTTAATCAGCTGTCGTTTATCAAACAAGAAAGCTTCATTTGTCTATACAAAAATTGTTCTGTCATGAGAAGGGAAGAGAGAAAATTCAAGAGAATTTTTATAGGCAAGACAATGCAGATGAGAGTTAGAAAAGTGACAACCTTTTTATCTGAAAAGGAGTTTTCTTGAGCATCACCCGTTGTTAAATGCAACCTTGCAAGTAGCCACCACAGACATAAGTACACAGCATAAATTGCTTCAGAGAAACACGTTCACAACACAGTGACAAGAATCAAATTAAAAGATCAAACAAAAAGACGTCTGGCACACACTAAAAACAAGTATTCTCAGAAGTTAAACCTTAAGAAGCTCTGGGCCAGCATATTACATTGGCAATACATGAAATCCATTTATTTTTTAGTGCAACAGAAGAAACTGGAGCTAGGGTAATAGCTATTATTAAATAGCTACTTTTTCTGTCAAGTGTTTGTTTCAGAGCCTGATGGAGATTTTGAAATTAATCAGGTTTTTTCCATGTAGGCTAGAGTGACTTTGCAGCCACCCAGGTCATTCACAACTGTCTCAGCTCTCTTCATCGCTGTTTCACAGCTGATGGAACAGGCTCAAGACAATGACTTCACAGTTTCACACTCCCTTTAAACTTTTATTATTAGCACACTTTGTTGTGTGTATGGACTCATTCAAACATTTCCCAACTCAGCACTCCCCTCCACTCCTGGCTCAGCACTCTGGTCCCTGTGAGTCATGGGACTGTTTACCTCCCGTTATCAGTAACCTGCTGTGCAGCTCTGAAGCACAGCAATAATCAGATTTTTTCTTTTTTTCGCAAGGACCTTTTCTGCCTGCTTTCCACGAGCATAGCACAGAGACCCAGAGCCCCAGTGAGAGGGAAGCTGTCTGCAAAGCAAAAGACAGTTCCATGGCTATGCTGCTTTAATTTCTCAGGGTGTTTTTGCTCCCCACTTGATTTTTCATTACATGACTATGCTGCTTATTTTTGTCAGGGTTGTTTTGCTCCCCACTTGCTTTTTTATTCCAGAAGAGGGACAGAGAGAAGCTACTTGCTCCTTTCTGGGGGAGAGCAAGGTATGTGTTGGGGGGACTTTTCCTAGCATTTCTGCTCTCTGAAGGGGAGATGCCTGCTGACAGATGCTGAGCAGGGCTGCTTTGAGTTGCGGGGAGTCTGAGCCTGAATGCTGGGTCTTAACAGAGGCAGGCTCGATCCGATGGCCTGGGAGGGTCCCACCAACCAACGAGGAGGGCAACCTGTAAAAAAGCTTCAGGGACATTCGCTGTGGGACCTGCACAGCCACCCATCAGACACAGAGAGGGCTGGCAAAGCCTGGCTGACAGACCCTAAGCCAACCCACAGGTGCTGCAATTTGCTAAATGGGTGTCAAAGCCTCAGGGAATGTGCCTGCTCTCAAGGGAGGCAAAAGGGGGGAATGGGGCTGCAGACCAAGAACCTGGGGTTTTCATTGCTCCTTGTGTCAAACACCGCTGCTGGTGGGCAGGACCAAAACCCTCTCCCTCCCGGCCTCCCCATGCCACAGCCCTCGCCTCGCTCACCCTCCTGCTGGGAGGCAGTAGGGTGGTGGGGAGGCAGAAATGCTTCCTCAGAGGGTGGTAATCCTGGAGGTGCAAGTGCCATTCCTGTACATGCTCCCTGACTCCAAGTTGTCTGGGGGAAAGTCCTCCACGCTGTATGCTCTGCTTTTGAGGGCAGTGGCATAGTAGTCAATGGGTTCCTCTGCAGCATTGTCCATCCAACTGAGGCAGAGCAGCCGCTGGAAGGACCGCTTGAAGTTGTCTGAGAGAAAGCCATAGAGGATGGGGTTGGCACAGCTGTTGGCATAGCCCAAGATTACGGAGAGCTGGCTGATGGTGGCATCATCCTGCTCTACAAAGACGTTGACCAGCTGCACGATGTAGAAGGGCATCCAGCAAATGACAAAGACCATCACCACCATCATGACCATGAGGGTGATCTTGCGCTCTGAACGTTTGCGTTGCTGCCAGCCAGCCTTCAGGGCCACCATACGCATCTTGGCAATGATGAGGATGTAGCAGAGGCAGATGGCCACCACAGGCAGCAAGAAGCCCATCAGAAAGGTGTAGATCACAAAGACCACCAGCCACCTCTGGGTGGGCTCTGGCATGAGCATGTTGCAAGCTACCGTTCCATCACTGTTGGCCGCTGTGTTGGAGAAGATGATGATGGGCAGGATGATGAGGATGGAAAGCACCCAGACACCCAGATTGACCATCTTGGCCACAGTGGGCCGTCGGTACCTAGCTGCCTTGATGGGGTGCACCACGGCAATGTAGCGGTCCACACTGAGCACGGTCAGGCAGTAGATGCTGGTGAACATGTTGATGGCATCCACACTGAGCACCAGGCGACAGAGCAGTGAGCCAAAGGGCCAGTGGTGCAGCAAGGTGGAGGTGACCAGAAAGGGGACGCTGAGCATCAGCAGCTCGTCTGCGATGGCCAAGTTGAGGATGTAGATGTTGGTGGCCGTCTTCATCTTGGCGTAGCGTAGGATGACGTAGATGACCATGGAGTTGCCACACAGCCCCACCAGGCATACCACGGAGTAGATGAATGAGATGAGGATGGCGCTGCCCT